AGGGGGCTATCAGTATGTGTGTGATTTTAAGAAGTTGAACCTTAGTTTCAGGGTCATGGTATGAACCTGGCAATAAAATTAGAAGATCTGTTCCTAATCTTCATTTTATATTTTATTTTGAAAATATCAAAGCTGCTGCAAAATGGGACTAATGGTCTTCATCTGTTTCACAAGGTTCTAATAGGTATGAGCATGTACAATAATAGATGCTCAGAAGCTCTGTAAAATGTAAGAGGCCATACAAACAGGAGAGAAAACTATCCATAGTTGTTAGCATGGTTAAATCTCTTAAAAGAATATTTGCCAAGTTTTCATGTTTCTTGAAGCATTCTTTCTCTCTTTCTGGGAGAGTACTTGTGGAGCAATGACATAATGTCAAAAGGAAAATGGCTTTGCATGTGTGCAAGCGTGTGTATGTGTGTGTGTGGTGTGAAAAGAGAGGCAGAGACTCCCTGGAGATGGCCAGCAGAGGAGGACAATTAAGAAAATAGAAGAAGGGAAGTTGATGTGGATTTTTCAGGTTTAGTCCAGACTTTCAGTTCATTTCCCAGCACCCACATAAAGCCTTGGCCATAACTGCCTTTAAAACATTTTATTGGAAAGAATTGAGCATAGAAAAGAACAACTTTCCTGAAGAGGTAGGAGGCCTACCTCTTAATGTAGGTGGAAAAGTTAAAATGTTTTAACTGTAGCCATTTAGTGACATAAGGAAGCAAGAGGCCACTAGTGCGCTGGCCACTAATATGTCAAATTCAGGAACCTCAAAGTGTTTAGTCTCCAGTGGAGTTGGCCTCCTACTTCCTGAGACCTTTCAATCACTTGGGTCTTAACTCTAATAAAAATGTCTGTACAACTTCCACGGCTGGAGAGCTAAGAACTGGATTTGCTCCACTCTGAGTACGAGCCCTGGGTGAAGGGAAGACCTTGGCTGCCATTTCGTAAACAGACTTGCTGAGGATCTCTGATGTTCTGTTTGTAGGCCCAGACTCCTTGGCTATGCTCAGGACACAGGAACTCTTTGTAAATCTACACTATGGGTAAACCTGCCTCTTTAAGGGCAGAAGGACACATACGTAGGAGGCTCTGCTGCTGCTCTTCACACTCATATCAACATAAAAATTTTCTTAAGCAAAGCATGAAAATCTTCTCATATATGTTCTTCATATTCTTTCTACAACATCTACTCATTTTGGTATTTCCATAGAAACTGTAGCTATGAAATGACCCAAACTTAGAGGATTTTTCAATTGTATCATATTATGCTGCAGGAAAAGCAATGATAAGGATGCTACTAACCAAATTAAATCCTTATATTAGTAAATAATTCCATGATGTACAAACTATTATACTTGTTCATTCCTTCTCCTTGAAGACAAGGAAGACGTTAGTATCTCCCTTCGATAAATGTGGATACTGGTACTCAGAAATTAAATGACTTTCCCAAAGTCACTCTAGGAGAGCAAGGACTAGAACCAATGTATTCTATTTTTATCAATTTACTTCCCAATGAAGCTTAGAGTTCTTAATTTTAAGCTGTTCATTTATACAAATCCATAAAAATAATCAAGGCTAAGCTTTTAAGAGATCTATCACCAAAGTAGAGAAGCATCTCATTGGTTTTGTAAATAATTACACAAATTCAAATAACTATTACATAATGCACTTATTAAATTGATTCTAAATAAATATAAATAAACTTTTTCAATAGTGGATAGGTTATAGTTTAACATACGGTCTCATTACTGTGATGGTTCTGTAAACTGAAAAATCTTTCTAAAGAAATCTAGCAAATGTTCTCCAAATTGCCATAAACTGAGTGATATAAATAAATAAAAAAATGCTAAGGAAGCAATTCAAAATAAAATAATATAAAAATTTTAGTAATTTATAAGCATGCTCTTTATAGTACCAAAGATTAGAAAATACCCAATGCCTTTCTAGTGGCAAATGGTTTTAAAATTTATTGTGTAAACATAATGTAAAACTAAATAAATAAAAATAATGATTATTAACCATGGAAAGCTATATACATATTTATATGAAGTCGATCAATAGGAAATATAAAACAAAGTATGTATAAAATGATTAAAGAGAATTACAATGCTGTACAGAATCAAGTTTATTTAATTACAGCTATGTATGTGCAAGGATTAAGGATTTAAGAGAATATAGGAAAATGTGAATAATCATTGAAACAAAGATGAAGACATTATTGGTAAAGTTTTCCTCAAAAAATTATGTGAATGTTTAACTTAAATATGATTTAAAGTTGAGGAATTTACGCAAGAATAAACCAAATTTATATTAGAGTGGTCTCCTTCCTGGACTCAGAGCATCAAATATGGGTGGTCCGTATAGAGAAATAAGTAAATAAACCACTATCTTCAAGATTCTGACTGTATCAATTTAAAAACAAAACACTGACTGAGGCCTAGGGCCCGGTTTTCTCTGCTTTGCACAGGATGCCTTTCAGACATCAGCTTCCACCAATGGGATGAGAGGCAATTTGGATGACATTGTAGGTGCTTGTTTTAGGACTTTGGTTCCAGGAGGGATAAGCACAGCCTTCCCAGCCCCCAAAGAAAACTCTCCATGTTTCTAATGTGGCAGCTTATTGGATTTATGAAAGTTCATAAGAAATTAAAATGCTAACACATCCATGTTGGGGCTTGAGGGCGGGGCTGAACTCTGAAATCAATATTGAACAGGGGTCTTTGAGTAAAGTTTCACTGAACTCTGATAAGAATTAAATTGCATTTTAGAGTTGCCGTGAATAGATCTCATTAAAGAAAAAATCACGTTTAAAGTTTCTTACGAGGAAGAGAAGTCAGAAGGATGTAAGAATTTCCCTTATTTGAATTCACCCAGGTCTTCTAAGGATGTGACTGGGTATCTCCCAGACAGTGTTCCTTGTTATGAGTATAGTGTAGTATCAGGTGACCAAAGCAAACAGCTGTAGATTGAAGAATCACCAAGCTCCCATGCCTGGAAAGGAGATAGAAACCGGAACCCCCACACTGCAGAAACCCATCATTTAGCCAGATTGGACTTTCTTCAGTCTTATTACATACTCAGGAGAGCAAGCAGAGCATTTAAAACAGGAGAGTGCTGTGTCTGACAGGTTAAAACAATTTCTTAAAGCCCAATGAGTCTCACTGCACATGTAAGGTCCTCATATTCAGAAGTACTAAATAGGCCAGAAATCCTGTCAAAATTAACCCCAGAATAGCATTCATTTCATATCTACCTTTCCTTGAGCAAGCCAAGCGTGCTTTACAAGGATGACCTCATTTCATATTCACAAGCCTTTGGGGGAAATCCTGCAAGCATCCCACTACATAGATGTGGAAACTGAGGCTCACGGAGATCAAGTCTCTCCCAAGGAGACGAGGCATTAAGTGACAGAACCAAATTCAGATGCGTGTTCTTCATATCATGTTATATTGCTTCCCCATACTGGTCATATGATTCCTAGCTCATAAGGGACAGAAGAAAACCTGAAGGAAGCTCATTAAAGTAGTCAGGATCAACACGGCAGTCCAACAAGGGATGGAGCAAAGATGCAAAAGCTACCCAGTCACAGCAGTCTGTGGTCATTAGTATAAGGACACACAGCCATGCATAGCTGCTTCTCTAGGCTCTGCTGACGTCACTGTCACAGAACTCACTGCGACAAATATTTCAGAGTGGGGGTCCTATGTGAATGTCATTGCGAAGGAAAGTCTGCACGGTCTGCTGACAAAGGAGGGGGATTTGTAGTTTTCTCTTTTCAATAAAGACTTCAAAGGGCGATATTTGAAATATCCTTAAATACTACAGAGCTGAGCTTTGGTTCACTGACTTTCCCTGGTATGTACTTGCTCCTTCCAGATCAATAGGACCTTACTGTGTTTGTGTTTGTGTTCTGGACAAGTTAAAACTGTGTGGTAACTACAAAAAACACACAAACAAACAGGACTAGGAGTGCCAACAACTGCATATAGCCCTGGCTCAGACACTAATGACTGGAGAAGTCACTTTTCTCCTCTCCTCACCTCTGTGTTCTCACTTCTAAAGAGAGGAGTTAAATAAATGATCTTAAGTTTTTCTCCAGCTCCAACATTGTGTGGCACTATAGTGATGCTATATATATGCTTAAGTTGTGTTTGGGGAGAAAAAGGAAATAAAATTGAACCTAAGAAATGCAAAACAGTATTAAATCCTGTATGATCTTAATCTTGAAGAGCCTTCAGGTCTGTGCTACAGACTTCAGGGCTGCAACGAGTTAGAGCTGTCAGGTTATGTGAAAATGCCGATGAGGCCAGAAACTTCTGCAATAAACTTGAAACTTGGGGATCCACAAAGCTATGTAAAACTCCCAGTGTCTTGCACCGCAAGCTTCTTTTATGTTGACATGCTTGGGCACTGAGGGCCAACCCATGGATCTTTTGTGGGTTTTCAAGAAGCACTACTTTTTCCACTAACAAGTGTTAAACAGACACATTAAAATCATGCAGAATGATAACAAAGAAATTTGCTTTAGATGTAAAAAACATTTCTGTTCATCCATTAAATTGCTCTATCATTTGATAGCTTAACATACAGATTTAAGTAGCCTGGCAAAAAGCTATGATAATGTGACTATGAGTGTTTTTTAGTCACCCACCAATGTTATTAAAGTATAGTTGCTGTGTTTTTTAAAAAAACCAAAAACAATTGTTAGCTCAGTCACTTTGAAACCTCTCTGATGCTATGAGGGGTCACAAGCTAGCCTGTACATACATGCTTAAAATCCAGGGGATGATGTTCTTCCCAGCAGACCACTAACTGAATGGTAGCCCCATCCCAACACACCTTTCTGACTTTATATGAACATGTGGGAAAAACTAAGATGCCAATTTACACACACGTATCTTGAAGTCTGGGGGTAAAGATCAATGGCTACATTCCATCTGGAGTGATTGGCACTTTGCCAAAGAATTTATCTCTGCAAAGCACCTGAGGGCCAGATCTGAACTTACGATGTAGCAGGGCTCACAGTAGGCTTTCTTCTCCACAGCATAGAAGGGTTGCCCACGAAGCTTGTTGTTGCAGATGATGCACGTGAAACAGTCCACATGGAAGACCTGGTCCATGGCAGTGCATCCTGTCCCTTCCCCAACGACATTTTCCCCGCAGCGAGCACAGCGGCCTGAAAGAAAGGAGGGATTGATTGTTAAGAACACACAGAGGAATGATTTCAGTCCCTCAATGGAAGCCAACATGGGAAGATGACAGATTCATAATGTCAGCAGCAGCAGCAACAGGACCCCCACTACCACCATCACTACCATGACCAAGATCAGCAGCATGGTCACCACTATCCCCTGTAAGGCCAGCACGATGGGGACTTCCCATGAGTCAGCTGAGGAGTTGACCATCACAGCCCAAGATCCCACAGAAAATGACAGAGCAGAACTCAAGTGTCCCGACGTCGAGGCCGGTGCTCTGACTCTACTCTCCAGGGAAGTCTAAGGAAGAAGGCTCAGGATGGTAGGAGTAGGTGGCATTGCCTAGGAAAGCCTTTCTCTTTGGGAGTCTACCTGTCCAGTGAGACTGTGAGGGAACAGGGCCCAAACTCAAACTTCACTCCTTTCACAAAAGCCCTGGCTGTGAAACCTTTGCATCCAGCTCTCCACGACAGGCAGGTCAAAAGGCAGTCGCTTTTATTTCCAGACAGCTCTGACTGCTGGGAAGTTCGTTCTCATATTGAGCCGAATTGCTTGCTCACTCCGCTACCCAATAGTTCTAGTTCTGTCTCCTGGGGATTCATGAAACAACTCTCATCTCTTACACTCGACACCCTTTAACATACTACACTTCAGTCAGCCTTGCCTCCAAGCCTGTTCGCAGACTTAAATCCTGAAATAGTTCCACACACTGGAGGGTTTGAGTTTCTCATGGCCCTGGGTTTTGCAGACTTCCAGTATTCTTAAATTGATTTGTGGGGCATCTGGACTACATATGGACATCAAGTTCAGCTTTAAAAGGTTCACATAAAGTTTTAAATAACAATAAAACATAATTTAAGAGAAATATTTATGTCAGTGAGAGGCATTGTACTGGTTGCAATCTGTATCTATAGCAGGCTCCATCATAGGCATCTTGAATCAAAGATCAGATCCACAGCCAGGTTCCCATGCTAGTCTTTATTTCTGCTAAGTAATTATAGGTCACTGGGAATGTCCGCTAGAGTCTGCAGGCTTTCACAGGTAAGCTATAGCAAACCTAGCGCTTCATATGTGTCAGGTGCTTTCTAGGTGCTTTTTATATGTTAACTCCTTTCATATTCACAACGATCTATGTGATAGGGATTATTCTTATTCCTATTTAAAAAATATATATATTTTTTAAGTTAAAATATGAGGGCTAAATGTTTCAACTTGGGAGAAAAGAGGCAAATACGTTTCTACTCCTATCTAGTTGCATTTGGCCCAGGAAAGGATTTCTTTATATTCTGTTGCAGGCTCTGAATGTCTTGAGTATAGTCCATCATTTCCCCCCTAAAAATTAAGAAATAGCTCAGCCAGGTGTGGCTCAGTGGTTAAGCATAGACCTAGGATCCAGGAGATCACAGTTCAATTCCCGGTCAGGGCACATGCCCGTGTTGCTCATGCAGGAGGCAGCCGATCAATGACTCTCTCATCATTGATGTTTCTGTCTCTCTCCCTCCCTCTCCCTTCCTCTCTCTGAAATCAATAAAGATATATTTTTAAAAATAAATAAAAATTAAAAATTAAGAAATAACAAGTGTTGGAAAAAGTTAAACACTTGAAAACTAAGTCATCTCCACTATAATTGATATATTATGAAGTCTATATATTCTTGACATTTGATCCAAATGCTGTGGCTTGATTTGCAAACTTCTATCCAAGAGTTAACTTGTACCTATTTTTATTATAAGATGTATAAGCTTAGAAGGGCACGTTTAACATTTTGGCTGTTCATTGCCTTTAGTAACCAACATAGGTTATTTCATATGGTGCTGTTTTTGTGATTATTCAGAAAAAACACTTAATTGGTTTACTAGAAAGTTCACTGAGCTATGTTTGAAAATGCTGTTAAATTCCGAGAGCTTCATGGTACTAGCTGACAACATTTCATTACAGAAAACATATTGGGGATTATAGGCAAACAATGAAGTCTAATTTTTAAAGAGTCATCATCATACTTAGCACTTAAAGTTTTCTTTTTTAACTGCTTGTGCAGAATCATTGCATTCATTCCTGCATACACAGATTCATTTCCTATATATAGGGTGTCCCGCAAAAATGTATACACACTTTGAAGGCAGTGTTTATTAAAATACATTTCAGTTTCAAATGTAACAGAATCTACAGCTATCAGCTGTTAAAATGTGTATACATTTTTTTTTTGGATACCCTGTATTTGGAAGCCAGTTCACTAAAATTTACATATGTAATATCAATCTGAAGTAGTATTTATGGCATTATCTTTATTACTATTTTTTTCCACCTTCAGTGAGTCATATTCAAATCACTGATCTCTTTTGGTTGATCTGAAGAAATAATGCAATACAATAGTTAATAATGAAAAATGTAGGTTTATCAGCAGCAGAAAATAAACTCATACTAATGAAATGAAAATACTCTGAGCTGAATGGCACTGTTAGTGAACATTGATTAAACACCATTCAACAGAGGTTATGTGGTACATGTGAAATTTTTAAGAATGTGATGATATTAAGAATAAGATTCCTGAGAAAATTGTAATTTTAAAATTTCAAATTTAACAAATTTTAAGTTTGTTAAATGCAGGTAAACAAAATTATTTTTAATTATTTCTCTTTCTAGATGCCAAACAAGATTCCGATAGTCCATCAGGGACTACCAGTAACCTGTGTACCACACTTT